AGCACAGAAGTGGAGGATGGAATACAATGTGACAAAGTGGGGGGTTATGCACTTTGGTAGGAAGAAGAGAGGCATTCACAATTTTCTACACGGGGAAAGACTTCAGAAATCTAAAAGACAAAAAAGGACTTGGGAATCTTAGTACAGGATTCTCTTAAGGTAGCAGATTCAGTTGGCAGTTAGGAAAGCAAAGGCAATATCAGCATTCATTTCAACAGACCTAGAATACAAGAGCAGAGATGTTCTGCTGACGTCATAGAAGGCTCTGGTCAGACCATATTTGGAAAATTGAGCGCAATTTGAGCCCTGCATCTAAAAGGATACTGGTGAAGGGGATCCAGAGGAGGTTTACAGGAATGATCCTGGGGATGAAGGGCTTGTCACATGAGAAATGGTTAAGGAATTTGGGTCTGCACTTTTTAGAATGATGGGGTGGATCCAAGTGAAACGTACAGAATACTGAGAGGCCTGGATAGAGTGGATGTTTCCACCAGTAGAAGTGACTAAGACTCGAGAGCACAGCCTCAGAGTGAAGGGTAACACTTTAAAATTGAGATGAGGAGGAATTTCTTCAGCCAGGACGGTTAATCTGTGGCCCTCACTGCAGCAGAGGGCTGTGGAGACCAAGTCAATGAGTGTCTTTAATAGAGATAGATAGGTTCTTGATTGGTAAGTGGATCAAAGGGTTATGGAGAGAAGGCAGGAGAATGGGGTTGAGAAACACATCAGCTATGATTGAATAGCACAGCAGATTCGATGGGACAAAATGGCCTAATTCTGTTCCCACATCTTAGGGTTATAACTTTCTGTAGTTTTTCTCCACTTAAATAACACTATTCTTTTAGCTCTCCCTTCCAAAATAAACTTCACATTTCCCATATTATACTCCATTTGCCAACTATTTGCCCACTTAGTTACCCTATCAATATCTCTGAACTATTTACATCCCTCTCGCGACTTGTCTTTCCAACTATTTTTTGTGTTGTCTGCAACACTGGCTACAATGCATTCACTTCCTTCCTGCAGAGTAATATACGTTGTAAACAGATGCAGTCTCAGCACTGATCCTATGGAATCCCACTGGTCATTAACCTGACCAAAGAACCCCTTATTTGCCAATTCTCTATCCATGCCAATATCCTACCTCCAACACCATGGGCTCTTATCGTATTATTTAAATTTGGAGGTACCTTGATTTTCACCTTCTAGAAGTCTAAATACAACATATCCACTGGTTCCCCTCTATCCACTCTGGTTGAAACTTCCTTTAAAAATGCTAATAAATTAGTCAGAAACAATTTCCCTTTCAAAAAGCTACACTGACTTTGCTCAATTAGATTAGGATTTTCCAAATGTTCTGCTATTACTTTCTGAATAATTGACTCCAATGCTTTTCCAACATAGACGTTAGGCTAAATAAAAACCGGAGAGAACTGCGAATGCTGTAAATCAGGAGCAAAAACAGAAGTTGCTGGAAAAGCTCAGCAGGTGGCAGCATCTGTGAAGAGAAGTCAGTGTTAACGTTTCAGGTCTGGTGACCCTTCCTTAGTTCGGAGGAAGTATGCTGCCACCTGCTGAGCTTTTCCAGCAACTTCGGTTCTAGATTTTAGGCTAATCAGTGCATCTAGTTATCGACTTTTTGCCTCCCTCTCTTTGAACAGGGGTGTCACATTGGCTGTTTTCTAATCTACTGGTAGTTCTGCAGGATCCAAGGATTTTGGCAATTTTATGACCCATGCATCCACTATCTCTGTAGCTACCTCTTTTTGGATCTTAGGTGCAAGCCATCAGAGCGGGGGCTTTATCTATCTTTAGCCCCATCAGTTTGTCTAATACTGTTACTTCATTGATGGTAATGGTACTTAATTCCTTCCCCGTATTCCTTAGTATTATTGGGATTTTCAAAGCTTCTTACACCAGTTTGATACCACACTAAAATACGACAAAAATTTAAGTTTATGTTTGCCTTTCAATGTGTTTTACTCCAAGTTAATTACAAGACCAAGAACTAAATGCATAACTAAATAAGAAAATGCACTGTGCTGAAGTTTAAATGCATCTACATTAATGCACATCTTAGGGCTGTAGGAGCACCCAGAGGAAACCCACACAGACACAGGGAGAACATCTGCGTGGAGTTTACAAGGTCACCCAGGGTTGGAATCAAACCCGGATCCCTGGCACTGTGATGCAGCGGCGCTAATAAATAAGGTAACAGAGCATTTAAAATTGTTTCAATGCACAAGCTTCTGTAAACAATTCAATATCTATCCATTGAAAAGGAATTTAGGATGGAAACAAAGGCAGGAACAAGTTTATTGGGTTAATGAGATAGTAGGGACTGCCGATGCTGGAGTCTGAGATAGCAAGGTGTATAGCTGGATGAACAAAGCAGGCCAAGCAGCATCAGAGGAGCAGGAAAGCTGATGTTTCGGGTCTGGTTACATTACTTTTTCCTCACATCTACTTCACTCAATTTATGCAATATTGGTGGGTTTCCGTAACTAGCCACACATCGCCCAAGACCAACAAATTTCAAGTTATATAATTAGGTTCCAAACAAAACATTTGACTACAATCAGATTGCTTAGAACCTTAAATTTAACCATTTAGCAATGAAATTTACAACAATTATAATGACAAATTTAAAAATGTGAAAGATGTAGAATAATGTAACTAACTGTAACAAATCACACTGTATCAGATGCTTAAAACATTTCAAATAGGATCCACAGCTATTTCTCCTGAAAATAGATACTCAAAACAAAATCACAAAAGTGTGAATTAACATCTCCAACACAGCATTTTTCTACTGTTTCCCCTGGCTAAGGGGATGAATTACATTCACTATATAATTAGAAAAGTTTACAGAGGAGCTGGCTTCTATTGCATTTTATTTCTTAAAGGCAAAGAACTACAAATGAACTTAGATTATATCGACTGTAACAGGCCAGGACTCCATTAAGCAAGCAGAAAAATCTTTTTTCCAACATGGTTAAGTTTATCTTGAAATCACACAATATTAACTGGATTCAAAACAAGTGTAACCAGGCAGCATGGTGGTTAGTACTACTGCCTACAGTGCCAGGGGCCCAGGTTCGATTCCCCCCTCGGGCAACTGTCTGTGTGGAGTTTGCACATTCTCCCCTGTCTGCATGGGTTTTCTCCGGGTGCTCCGGTTTCCTCCCACAGTCCAAATATGTGCACGTTAGGTGGATTGGCCACGTTAAATTGTCTGTAGTGTTCAGGATGTGTAGATTAGGTGAGTTATAGTGGAACGGGTCTGGGTGGGATGTTCAGAGGGTCGGTGTGGACTTGTTGGGCCGAAGGGCCTGTTTCCACACTATAGGGGTTCTGTAAAGTAAGAACTTGTTCACTTGAAAGTGACTAGGCCTCTGCATACAGTGAGTAAAATGCACCAAAAGGTACTTTCCAAAACAGAACATGCATGTAATGATGAACTTACTCCCAAAAATCTCAAACTCATGCTTTCCTGCTAATGCAAAGTCTGAATCTTTAAAGAATTTACTTTGTGCATAATGATATGAATGTTTTAATGCACATTACAACTCAAATTAACTTCAATAATAGACAACTATTACTACACTGGAAAAAGAAAACATCAGAAACGAGCACAACTGGAAGTCATACATCACTTCTCTAGAAACATTATATTTGCATATAGCATGTGTTTTCAAGTTATTCAGTATTTACAAGTCCCCAAAGAGCACAGTAAATAAATTGCATTGTCAATTAATTAAAATGCATTCCATCTGATAAAGGCATGTAATTCACTGAAGCATGCACCAACTGCAATCACTCAGCTACATAAAGGAAATCTAATAACCGGTTTCTCCATTGCAAATATTGATGTGGTGCTAAAATGAAGGTTGGTCAGCTTCTTTAATTCAAAAATTTTAAAACACCTTAGAAATAGTTCAGTATCTAATCCAAAGAGACTCTGAATTTGGTTGTCTTTGCTCAGCAAACACCCATTACGTAGTAAAACAAAGTCAAGGCACAGCAAATTGTGATGCTAATTCATTTTGCAATTCCCAAGCTTGGTCAGTCCAAGAAAAAAACAAGATTACAACCCAGTTGTAGACCTGAAGATCCCCATCACTGCTGAATCCTTACTTTTCCATCAACCAACTTTCCCATTTGAGACAATCCCATCTAAATTAGTTTAAAACTCCAGCAAAATCCATGATTGCATCTACTTTACACATTCAGCTTCAACACCAAAAAATTATTCCAAGCTATTCAGGAGGTAGAAGAACTGTAGATGCTGGAGTCAGAGATAACAAGGTGTAGAGCTGGATGAACACAGCAGGCCAAGCAGCAGAGGAGCAGGAAAGCTGACGTTTCAGGCCTAGACCCTTTCTGAAGAAGCAATCCCTGATCACCTAAACTGAAGCCTAATCCACAACCATTTACTT